CACACACACACACACACACACACACACACACACACACACACACACACACACACACACACACACACACACACACACACACACACACACACACACACACACACACACACACACACACACACACACACACACACACACACACACACACACACACACACACACACACACACACACACACACACACACACACAACACACACACACACACACACACACACACACACACAACACACACGTATAAATATTTAATTTATGGCCTTGACTAACGAGAATTTATGTAAAGGCTTGACTCACAGACACGATCACTGGTAGGTGTGGGGAGGTGAGGGAGGCGACCAGCAGGTAAGAGTAATTAATTAACCCTGCTTGACCTGTCGGAGGAAGGGCTGGGGGGTGAAGGGGGAGGAGATGAGTTTGGGGAGGGAGAGGCCAGAGAAGGGAGGGGGGATGGGGTAGGTGAGGGGAGGGGAGGTTGAGGGGACTGAGAGGGTGAGGGGAAGTAGAGAGGAGGGTGAGGGAGGAGAGGTTGAGGGGACTAAGAGGGTGATGGGAAGGAGAGAGGAGGGTGAGGTTGAGGGAACTGTGAGGGTGAGGGGAAGTAGAGAGGAGGGTGAGAGGAGGGAGAGGTTAAGGGGACTGAGAGGGTGATGGGAAGTAGAGAGGAGGGTGAGGGGAAGGTGATGTTGAGGGGAAGAAGAAGTACGACCACTCCTTAAGTCTATTAAACAAAAACGGATTCCTTTCACACTCTGCATCAAACAGACTACCAAAGGGAAGATCAACACAGGGAAGAATGGACGCACAGAGAATAAACCACTAAAACCAAGAACAATGAAACAATTAACACGATACGTAAGGCAGTGAAAATAATACAACATAACGTCCGCCACTGAAGAACTAATAAACTCAGTCTGTCCAACCAGTACAGCCAAGTTGATGCAGGTATTACACGCTTGAACTCACACGGCCAAAAGGCATCTGACGAACTGATAATATTTTGTTACAGGCTCCATAAATCCAATCTATCAGAGGAGCCGGATGACGGGGTAGCCATCGCCTTAAAAAGTTATGTCCACTACAGAATCATAGACGACTTCACCTCTTTAACTCTCGCTATTCAAATCAACCTGATCACAGGACCAATCACAATAGCCACAACTTACCTCCCAGCACTACCTGCCTTACGGGGACTTCCACAGACTCCTATCATACCACCACCCAACCTACATCATCGGGGACATGAACGCCAGACATCCTCTACTAGATGGTAAGAGGACAACTAACAATGTTGGAAGAGGCCTCGATGGCCTCAAAACAGACATAAAAGTCGAGCTAATAGGTTCAGACTTCTTCACGTTCTACAGCAGGAACTCGGCCACTACCCCGGACATAGCAATAATAAACGGCAGCTCCACCACGGAGGATCGCCGAGCAGACCGACTGGGAACTATTCAATGAAAAAGCTACAGCCGAACTTGAGGTCAAGGACATGACAATCCTGCAGACCATAGACAATCAGCCGGTGAACAAAATAGACGAAGAAATCGACACATGGTGTGAAGCCATAGGAACAGCCTACCAGGAGGCCACGCCTCTCAAACGCAACAGAACTCTCCCACATCCACAACAGACTCCAGAACTCATAGCCCTCACCAACCAGTTCCAACTGCTACAACAGAGAGCCGAGACCCATGGTTGGGACATCGTAAGCTACAATACACACAGAAGAATACGGGAGGAAGTAAAAAACAAGAACTCTGGAACAAACCAACCTTAAATGGGGCGAAATAGCTGAACAACTCTCACAAACATACCCAGGAGAGTTCTGGGGTCGAGTTAAGATACTGAAAGGTTCCAGCCGCAATGATTCACCATATAAAACTGACCACGCAGGAAATAAAATATATGACGATCAAGACAATGAACCCATATTGAGGGGCATATGGTTGAACATCTTACGAATCACAAATGAAGAGAACAGGGGATTTGATGGTACCCACGAGGAGCACGTCCTCCATGAACTCCGGGGCCAGACACACCACACTCGGCCTTCACCTGGAATCATATCACAGTGGCAGAGGTGGCAGTTACTCTGGTGAGTTTGGTTATAGTGTTCAAGAAGAGCTTAGGATGACAGGTAGCAAGAAGGTCTAATACTGATTTTAATAGATCAATGTTGAAATTTCCAGTAATGTAGCAAAGTTTCCTCTCTGTACTTATGATAAATATAAGCTCCGAGAATTTATCAAGAAAGTTCCTTACGCTAGTGTGGGGTCTTCTGTAAATTACTTCTACTTGGATATTTCGTGTGTCGTTACGTAATTCAGTGAAAACACTCTCCATGAAGTCCTCCTGAGCCTTTAAATCATCTCTTACAGAAGTGTTATACTTGCTATCAATATATAGGGCGACACCACCACTGTGTCGTGACATATTGATATAAGAGCTGCGTTTCTCCTATTCTTTTCTTTTTAATTTATACCTTAGTAGTTTACCTTTAAACTCTTCAATTTGGTTTTCTCTTATTTCATACTTCATTTATTTTCTCCTTTAGTTTTGTCTAGTTATTTCATTTCATACAGTTACTTCATAACCTCTGACCTTTGGTAGCGTGGCTCGAGGGCTTTGACACGTGGTACATTGTAATTCTGGTGTCAAGCAATAAGAAAGAATGACGGTGAAATACTGCAGGTAAATGATACTCCTAACATACAAATAAAATGGTTTATTAAAATTATAAAATGGTTTATATTGTATGAATAATTTCAGTAACACTCAACTATATGGGTCAACTCCCTGGCTTACTTATTTTGTAATGTTAAACTTAGGTACATTCTCCACTTACCCCATGACCGAGTGTACATGTACAAGAACACACACAATACTCTTACATAGCACCTTTGAGCACCATTATTACAAGTAGCAATGATGCCACTTACAGCACCAACACTAATACTTTAACATCACCAGAATTAGTAGCTTCTCTTCACCACTGTGGTACCTTTGCCCACAAGCAAAGTGATGGTCAACCTACTCTTGCTGACTCCAAACACTCAGACAATTTCGGTGAATACCTACAGGTGTACTCGGAGGAATAACACAGCCACCATATAGCCCTACTGAGTAGTGGACTCATCCATAACAATGATGGGGGCTGGCAGTGTTTGCTCGGCCTGTGATATCAACAAGCTGGACAGTGAACGTGTCAGGTGAACGGCTGCGTCAGTTGAACGGCTGGCCAGTTGACTGGGCCCCAGAGGAGGTGGTTAGTTCCTGACGCTCGTGTTCACGAATTTACCCGAGTTTACTGGTCTTCATCCATCTCCCAAACTAGTGTGAAGGTCGTCCCAATCTGCAAGGCTCTTGGCCGAGAGGAACCTGTGGGTGGAGGAGTTTCAGACGCTGGACTTTGTTGACATGAACGTCAACGTTTCAAAAGGGCGCTGAGGGCGTAAGAATACTTCACTTAAAACACATCAGTTACGTTACTCTATCACTTGCATATTCAAATTATTAACTAGGTCAAAATCACTTAATGTGGCGAGGTATAACACGGAGCTGGACATTACCTGTGGGTGGAGGAGTTTCAGACGCTGGACTGACGCCCAAGAGCGTCAGTTCCCCGCACCCCGGCTCCCTCGTGCAGTTTCGAGTTCCACTCAACCAAATATTTCAATCTACTACGATACTGTACCCTTTGACCTTTGAAACTAAGACTACGAACTCATTTCTATTTCCTAAGATTCCCTTTTCAATCTGTGCTCTGACTGAGCTGTCGAAGACAAGAATTAAATTGATTTCAAGGTTCAGGATGGAACAAGTAGTATCCGATTACACCCGTTAAATTCTCAAAGATGCCTGGTCTGACAATTCCTTCCAGGTTAATTAATTACTTTCGTAATTAACATCCTTACAACAATTTCACCATGAACATCAGATTCTCTGATGTTCATATGTGAAAAAGAGGTGACTTCAACCTCGGTCAACAATCACTGGCATCTCTTGGGCCGACGTCAATGATACCTCACTCTCACTGCCGACTCTACCCTGACTTATATTGACAATTATGCTACCAGTAAATACAATTGAAGCTTTCAACATCAGTCACAGTGGATCTTGAATGCTTCATCTGCAATCAGACATCTCTAAGTTGACGCAAAGCAAGGGTGTTCTCTTACCAATTCAAATGCATGAACACCCTGTGCAGAATTTAGGTATACTTGAGTTTCTCCGGTAATGCCACATAGAAAACGAACAACTCAGATCTCCTGAAGTGGTTAGAGAACGAATGGTACAACTGGGAGACTCAAAAGGTTTACAGGTTTTGTGGGCGTGGAGCGTAATATGAATTATTAGGTTTTAACAGACTAGCCATATCATTATGACCATGACAAGGGTGAGGGGAAGGAGAGGGTGAGGGAAGGTGAGGGTGAGGGAAGGTGAGGGTGAGGGAAGGTGAGGGTGAGGGAAGGTGAGGGTGAGATTGTTTAGGAATGGCAAGTTTTCGTAATCCCAATATAAATAACATTGGATTACTTCATCAGACGCATAGGTGGCGTGTTGGGTCACCTTCACTGTCAAACACTTGTCATTCTGGCCGCACATATTGCCAAAACACTTATCATTCTGGCCGCACATATTTCCAAAACACTTATCATTCTAACCGCACATATTGCCATAACACTTATCATTCTGGCACACATTATCATTCTGCCAACATATTGCCAAAACACCTATCATTCTGGCCGCACATATTGCCAAAACACTTATCATTCTGGCCGCACATATTGCCAAAACACTTATCATTCTGGCCGCACATATTTCCAAAACACTTATCATTCTAACCGCACATATTGCCATAACACTTATCATTCTGGCCACACTTACAGCAAAAACACATGTTATTCTGGATACATGTACAGCCCGGACACCTTTAAGTTAGCCACACTTACAGCCAAAACACTTATCATCATAATCAGAGAGTAAGGGAGAGTTGCGTTACAGGTGGTGGGAGCGGCATTGGTCGAGCTATCTGTCAGGTGTTGGCCCGAGATGGTGCCGACGTGGTAGTGGCTGATCTCAACCTTCAGTCTGCCAACGACACCGTCAGTATGCTCCCAGGTAAATAAAAAATGCTCATGGATATATCAATAAGCTCCCAGTAAGTCAGTATGCTCCAGGATATGCTAGTATGCTTCCAGTTAAGCCAATATGTTCCCGGTGAGTCATGATTCTCCAGTGTAAGTTATTATGCTCCCAGATAAGTCAAGATGCTCCCCTGTAAGTCAAGATGGTCCCCCGGAAGTCAAGATGCTCCCCTGGAAGTCAAGATGGTCCCCTGTAAGTCAAAATGCTCCCCTGTAAGTCAAGATGCTCCCCTGGAAGTCAAGATGCTCACCATTATCCTTCCTGTTAATTTAATATGATCCTTAGTTACTCAAAATGCTCCCCAGTATGCCAATATGCGTCCCAATAAGTCAATGTGCTACCTAGTAAGTTGGGAGGCTCTCCAGGAAGCATTTTGTACCCAGTAAGTCAGCATGCTCTCTCATAACTCAATATGCTCCCCATTACATCATTATGTTCTCAAACAAGCTCAAGAAATATTTATACAAATTACCTCGGAAAAAACACACTGATATGAATCAATTTATACTAATACAAGCATTGTTACAAATGTAAACATACACACACACATACATACACACTGCTATTACTTTGCTGTCACTTGGAATCGAGTATGACGATCATCCAGCGTTGGATTCGTATCATATGTCCCAACAGGAAGAAGAAACTGTATTAATGCATTAATAGAGACCGAAAGTGAAAAGCACCTAGGTATGTATGTTGACAATAAACTGAAGTTCTCGGGTCATTGTCAGAAGAAGGTGAAGCTTGTCAAGAGTGAAGTGCTTCCCCCATATGGAGTACTGTCACCCCGTCTGATCCCGAGATATGCTAGAGACTGTCAGTTGATTGGGGTTATGAGATATTGGTTCACACTCAGGATGGGATGGAGAAAGGAAACTCACAATGTGCTCACTGTATACATATTGTATTGGATGTACAATGCAGCTTGGTGCTGGGAGGTGGCAGCGTGAGTCCAAGCGTGATGTAGAGAGAGCTGGTTGGTGAGGGTGCTCAGAGGAGGACAGGCAGCTTGAAGGGCGGCATAGTCGCCGGCGGGAGCGAGGGCCACCAGGCAGGAGCGGAGGAGGAGGAGGAGGTGTTGCTTACTGGTGGCTGTAGGTAGAAAGAGGTAGGTCACGGCGGGGTGAGGTCTTATATAACGGGGGTAGGCGTGGGTTGATAGTTGACCTCCGCTTTGTTAGGCGGCGCTGGTTACCGACCTAGGCCACGAGGTGCAGACAGGGGAATTCGAAGAGGATTGGCTAGTCAGCGACACACGGCGTTTGTAGGGGAGGAATCCACTACAACAGCACCGAGTGTGAGCTCTTTCAAGACCAAACTTGACCAACAATGGAGCAGGTTCAGATACATTCAAGAACCAGTGCATGCCCAGTACTTGCCAACAGTGCGTAACAGAGGCAATCAGTGTCGAAGAGGATGAAAGTAAAGTAAAAAGAGAGACCGAAACAAGACCTGCAGTGCCGTCCACAGATGTTGCACGTGTGTGGGGGGGGCGGCGTCAGCGTCTTAACGGCTCTGGCGCTTGTTCGCCTCGGTATGCAGTCGGGCCTACCGGAAAGTGCAAACACCTCGTGTGGTGATCCTCCAAGCGTTACTGTGTGGAGTGATCGTCTCCTGGGTGAGGGGATCGATTTTGCACTTTTCAGGTTTGTCTTAAGACTACACATATCTTTTTCATGCCCGCCAGTTTTATGCTTTAGCAGTCTACTGTCGTCCATGCATGTAATATAGACGGTCTAACGTAGCTGTTCGCGGACAACCTGTATGTTCACACCTTACCAAATCTCACTTTATACTGTGACTGTGCTGATATTCCTTGTTAAATGATCCACTCCTACACTCCCTGTATAATGTAACACACGATTAAAAAGTATCTGTGCACATTGGGTCAAATAGTTTCCTAAATGATCAATACATCTTGTAATTTGTATATTTTCAGCTTTGGGCTACTGTACTTATTAATGAACAGTTAAATATTGTTATTATTATTATTATTATTATTACACACACACACACACACAGGCTGTCAAATGAGCCCTCAGCTATCATGTAACAACTTACCTTTAGTCGTGGGCTGTAAATAAAAAAAAGGACACTAAAATACACAACTAGTAAATCGTAGTACATACACATGATGCAAGGAAAACTATTACGTAAGTTCATTCATACTTAAACATACAAGGCAAGTATAGAATGAATGGCACTGCATACAACTTCATGGTCAGACCTTTCAATGAACAAGTCAGTTACCACCACCTCTCATGACCTCCTGCAGGGCCCGGGAGCCATCTGGCCCTGGCCCTGGACGTGAGAGACAAGACCTCCGTGGACTCTGTGTTGGCGACTATCATCAACAAGTACCAGCAGCCGCCCTCCCTGCTGGCCAACAACGCGGGAATATCGTCTCAAGGGGCGCCTCACATACACATGACAGAGGAATTCTTCATGAATATAGTAAACACAAATCTGAAGGTACGTGTGTTGATCCTCTCTACTGCTCGTGTTGTGTGCACCGGTGAGTGTACCAGTGTGTGTAATGTGTACCATCAACAATTGGTACAATTATGTAGCAAGGGCTTGAGCCTTTTGTGTTTTTATTGTGTATTAACACAATGTACACAGATAATACCCGAGAGAATCCATTGTAGGGAAGTACTCTTAGTTAAGCATCTCACTTCCCGGCCCCAGTGGCTATGAGGTAACTGACCCACCCTGTTGCTGGTAGCTGCCAGGTTGTTTACTGACTCAGGTGACCTGAGGTTCCACCCCAGAGAGAGATGCACGCCAAGGGATACACACTGTCATACATAGGAATATATATAATATACATGTGTGCATCTGTGGGGCAGTGTTATATAAAATAAATAGTGCTGTTATGCACACACACACACACACACACACACACACACACACACACACACACACACACACACAATAAACCAGCTACCATTGTTAAGTGATTCATTCGGTCATCTTGAACTTTCAACTTTGACCTCAAGAAACTCGGCAGTGTTACCAGCGTCACACTCAGTCCTTGTGACAAACTTCCTGGCGCCTTTATGTTACAAGAGTTTGAGTGTACAGATAGGCACACTGACAGAAACAGATTAAATCATTCAGATGCACAGGTCGTTTTATACACAGGTCGTTTCTTACACAGGTCGTTTTATACACAGGTCGTTTCTTACACAGGTCGTTTTATACACAGGTCGTTTCTTACACAGGTCGTTTCATACACAGGTCGTTTCATACACAGGTCGTTTTATACACAGTTCGTTTCATACACAGGTCGTTTCATACACAGGTCGTTTCTTACCCACGTCGTTTCTTACACAGGTCGTTTCTTACACAGGTCGTTTTATACACAGGTCGTTTCATACACAGGTCGTTTCATACACAGGTCGTTTCTTACACAGGTCGTTTTATACACAGGTCGTTTTATACACAGGTCGTTTTATACTCGTTTTATACACAGGTCGTTTTATACACAGGTCGTTTTACACAGGTCGTTTTATACACAGGTCGTTTTATACACAGGTCTTTTATACACACAGGTCGTTTATACACAGGTCGTTTTATACACGGTCGGTCGTTCGGTCGTTTATACAGGTCGTTTCACAGGTCGTTTCTTACACAGGTCGTTTCTTATCGTTTCTTACAGGTCGTTTTATACACAGGTCGTTTATACACAGGTCGTTTCTTACACAGGTCGTTTTATACACAGGTCGTTTCACAGGTCGTTTCACACAGGTCGTTTCATACACAGGTCGTTTCTACACAGGTCGTTTCTTACACAGGTCGTTTTATACACAGGTCGTTTCTTACACAGGTCGTTTCATACACAGGTCGTTTCATACACAGGTCGTTTCATACACAGGTCATTCCATACACAGGTCGTTTCCTACAAACATTCAAGTTAGCTGAAACAAATCTATCATTCAGAAGTGTAAAGTATGGCTTCAGTTTTACAGTCCAGGTGTAATAATTTACATATCGACTTTTCAACACAGTCTTTGCTGCCTTAACTGAAATATGAAGAGAATGTCAGGAAGATTAGGAACCCTTGCTTATATCAGCTGATGATTGAACAACCTAATGTAGCTTGATCGAACCTAGTCTGCTCTGCTCTGCTCTGCTCTGGTCTGAGAGTAGTGACATAGGCGTTCCTGTGTTTAAATAGAAAACGTGGCTACTGGACGCCATCTTGACGCTACCGAGCCCCTCTGTTCATGTTGACCTGTAGAGTCACGCAGATCATATTCCTGGTTGGAAGTGGACATAATGTGTAATGCCGTGCTGCTGTGCCATTGGATGTACAAATAGACAAACAACAGCGAGCTCAATACACTGCCCTGTGGTATCCCGCTTATCATGGATACACATTACGATTTCGTAGAATTAATCACCACACACACTGCTTGCGATCATGAAGAAAGTCTCTGATCCAAGCTAGGACACTTCCCCAAATTTCGTACCCTTCCAGTTTAATTCTCAACCTTTCTTGGGGTACGCCTTGGCAAAATCTAAGTATATATTGTCGATATTGCCACCCTGTTCCAGAATATGGGTCCAAATATCCAATACCTTGAGTAATTGTGTTAAGCAGGAGCGCCCCGGCATAAAACCGTGTTGGCAATCCTTTACAAGGTTGTTTCGTAGTAGATGTTCCAGTGTGCCATCTCTGATAATACGCTCAAATACTTTACATACTATGCTGGTAAGGCTCACTGGTCTATAGTTGTTCATGGAGTGATGATCGCCCTTGAATATAGGGTTCACATAAGCCATTTTCCAATCATTTACAAAACAGGATCTTTAAGGACTCGACAAGCTTGTGAGTCAGTGCTATGTCAAACCGTCTGTCCTCAAACACAAGAAGATTGTTCACATCCTCTCTTGTGAACACCGAGGAAAAGAATCCGTTCAACGCCGCCACCTTGTCCTGGTCAGAATCTGCCTAACTACCTTCTTCAAGCCTCAGGTCCGATATGCCTACTCGCGTTTTTTATTTCGACTTCGCGTACCCGTATAATGCAGGATGTCTGGGGAGTAACCTTTCAAATAAATATAGATATAGGGAAACATACAATATATGCGGATAGTCATAATTTGTTCTCGCTTCCTGTCACTTTTGCATGGCCCCATATGGCAATTCATCCCCATAGCTGAATGATAAACTTCTCAATGTTCGTTAAACAAATATATTATGCAGACTGTACTGTTTTCAAATATATCTACTGGATCATATTTAGCATTGTAATTAGAAATTTATTGCTATATACAGAAAAGCTAACAGGATATTTACAGAGATGCATCTCAGTCATGCTTGCCAACCTTACCAGACAGCACCCCATCTTACCCAGGGGTGCAGATACTTTTTGGTGGGTGTACACGAAGAGAAAGGTAACTGAAACACTTAACCTCTATATTCCCGCGCAGTAATGACAACACCTTAACAAAGAAGTGAAGAAAAATCCATCTAAAAATCACGTTAACCTGCAATTCACATATATTCCTGACCTTACCTTTACATACATGTGAAGAAAAAAATTCTCTTTATATCATCCTGCTGAAGTAACATTATTTTTATATATAAAATCATTTAATAATAATAATAATAATAATAATAATAATAATAATAATAATAATAATAATAATAATAATAATAATAATAATAATAACACACAGGGGATGTTCCTAGTGAGTCAAGCAGTGTGTAAGTCACTCTTGGATCACGGGTCACCAGTTTGTGGTGCTGTGGTCAACATGGGCAGCATCAACAGTAAGACCGGCCTCGTTAACCACTGCCACTACACGGCGAGTAAGGCTGGCATCGTCGCCCTCACGAAGTCCTCCGCTGCTGAACTTGCTAAGTGAGGTGTTGATGTCTACTCTGACGAACATCTTAAGCTGTTGTTGACAATTCATTTAAGAAGTTTTTTTTAGTTTAATAACATCACACACACACACACACACACACACACACACACACACACACACACACACACACACACACACACACACACACATTTATAGATATATAATGGGTGTACTAACATGTTTGTGAATTGTGTACAGTATTTATCTATACAAGCATAAATGAATTACATACGTCTATGACCTACACTATTTTTCATACTATAAAAGTTCCAATAACCAGCAGGCAAGGTATCCGTGTGAATTGTGTGTTACCAGGGGCCATCAAAACACCTCTGAATGCCAACGCCTCACCTGGTTACTTAGAACCTCAGATTGCCGCCACTCCCCTGGGCAGGATGGGGGAACCTGAAGGTGGGTGTTAGTGACACGCATCCACGACCACCAACAGTCATCCGTCTCACCACATACGATATTTTTCACTCTTTTTGAAATGCCAAATGTGAGCAGATGTGAATGTTGTCATCCTGGAGATTATAATTATGGGTAACCTAGAGATAATAATAATAATGTTCTTTTCTACTCCACAGAGGTGGCAGAAGTGGTGGCGTTCTTGTTGTCAGAGAAGAGCAGCTACATGGTGGGCTCGTGTGTGGAGGTGACTGGTGGGTTCTGTATGTGAGGTGAACGTAGGATGGGGGGGGGGTACAAAGGATGAAAGTGGAAGGAAACTAAACAATTCGAGTCAAAGAAAAAGATGGGGTTAAGGATAAGAAGGAATGTGGAGTGATAGAACAGAGACGAAGGCAAACTGCACTCAGATAAATGCCAAAAAGAAAATGGTGTAAACTGGACACATATTGGCAACAAATACATTTACTCCCTCAATGAATTTGTTGAGGGTGATCTTGTGTGCAAATTCACCAACTGCACAGATAAGACATATAATAATAATAATAATAATAATTAACGGTTTATTGAAAGAGCTTGGCAGCCAGAAGGCTGAAAATATACAGTTACATATTTGGGGAATGGGTTTCGAATTACAAATAATATACAAGTAACATAACATACAAATAAGATATATAATAACTAGATGGGGAAAAGCTCAAACTACAGTGCATTTCAACATAGTGACAGTGCAAGAAGTAGTATTTACTGGGAGTGAATACACTGTTTATTACAAGTTATTGATAATTTTTACAATGGTTGGGACTGGGCTGTTCTTATAGCGATCAGGTGCATTATGGGCTGGATGCGGTTGTGGTGTCGAACAGCAATTCTCGGGCTAGGGATCTCAGGTGGTAGTAGGAGCCGGTGTCGAGGATGGTGTAGAAGCTTCTTACCAATTTGCAGATGAGGTCGTGGTGATGGTCAGTGAGAGTCGAAAGGGTCAGTGTGTTGAGCGCTTCTTGATATGTGGAGTAGGAAGGGGAGAGAATAATCTTGCATGCCCTCTTTTGCACTTTTTCTAGGTGTTTACGTGTGGGCATTTAGGGAGGAAGACCAGGTAGGGGAGGCATAGGTGAGCTTGGGAAGTATGAATGTTGTGTAAACACTGAGGAGCTCGTGTGCAGGAACTCCGAGGGACTTAAGTCGGCGGAGGAGGTGGAGACGGAAACTGGAGGATTTGACAACTTCACTGACGTGTGGTTTCCAATTTAGTTTGTTGTCTATGGTGACGCCGAGGAGCTTCGTGGAATCTACAACCTGGAGTGTGTGTTCTTGCTATTTTCACCAGTTGGTCAGTTCTGCCTGTTGGACAATGTCAGACATTTTGACTCCTAAAAAATAACTGGAGTTCCAAATGTCTACCATATATCATCACTCATCCTTCCCATTACAATTGGGAATGGGCCCAAGTCTTAATCAATTACCTATTAGACATGTGAGGAAAATGAACTTAAATGACTTTCAACCATTTTTCATGTCATGACTAAATTACTTATATCCACTTGCATCAATCCTAAACTGCCTTGAACATACTATTACCTGACCTTATTTACATAATGGCCACCCACTAGAGGTAACCATGATTAGGGAAGGAGGCCAGGCGTCTGTGTAGGATCCCTCTATTATCATTATTGATTCCACAGATTGAGTTGGTGCACTCTTCCATAGTCTCAAAGTCAATACATGTATTATTCTTTTTGGCCATGTAATATACTGTAGTTCAAATTCCTTATATTAAAATGTAAAATTCTTATGTGTTTGTCTATCAGAACAAACAAGGATATATCTGAATAACCTACCTATTTTTCGAGTAAAGTGAACTTGGCTATTTTGAACGGAAAAGGGACCAATTCATATTTCCTAAATGGACACAGAGGTAACAGAAACCATAAAACCTGCTAATTGTGACAAGCTTGATGAGGAAGCTTACAACTTTATGACCAAGAAGAAACCTTTCAATGGTTCTGTGCAGGTTGTGAAGACTAAGTGAAGAGTATCATCAGCACGGCCATATCAAATCTGGAAGTTAAAATAGCTAGTAAGGTTGTGATACTCATGACAAGTGCTCTGAAGAATTTTGAGCATGGTGGGACTAGGAGGCTGAAAGCACTGGAGGACAGGATTGATGTTTCGGGAGTGGCCTCTCACGAGTGGCCTCTCACGAGTCTCTTCAATCATTTGTAGACATCATTAAAGAGGAACTGAAGGAGTTTAAAAAAAGATCAGGGTGTCAAGAACAATGATTTGGACAGGGATAGGACAGTGTACACCCAGCAGGTACCCCTTGTACGCATACTGAAGCTAAAGGAGAGCATTCTTATCAAAGATCATAGAGTGTACTCAGCTGGATCAGTTACTTCCTCTATTAGAGAGATATGGAGTGATCCCTCTGCTCCAATCAGATTATAGGAACTACCTTATGTAAATTCATAACGACTTGGTAATAAACATTTGCACAGGAAAGTCGTCCCTCCTGGTCTTGCTGGATCTCTGCAGCCTTTGACACGGTGCATCATCATGTGTTACTTTAGGATCTTTGGTTGGTCAGATTATATGAGAATGCACTCTCACTGCTCGAGTCTTACTTGTCAGGGCAATCTCAATGTGTGATGATTGGTGGAACTATTTCACACCCAGTGCTTTTGCAGTTTGGACCCCCACTGGGATCAGTTATGGGACCACTTCTGTTTACAGTCTTGCATCTCAGATGGATGCTCATACTGTTGCCTACCATTTCTATGCCTATGATACACAGCTTTATGTGCAATTTATAAATGTCGGGGATATTGAGATAATAATGAAATCCTTTATGTCTGATATTAAAATTTGGATAACTAGGAGAAAACTTCAGCTGAATATTGCCAAAACCGAAATTATTTTCATCTGAGGAAATAGGAGGGGTGACGGCACAGATGAATTTGGTTCTTTAAACTTTGGGGAAGTACAACTAAGCCCTGTCCATTTTGTTCATCATCTTGTAGTGTACTTGACTTAAAACTGAGTTTTATGGAGCGTAAAAGTTCAGTGGTTAACAGTTGCAGCATCCATATTAGAAATCTATATGTTGTGAAACAGTTTTTGTATAGAAAGTGTCTTGTAACACTATTACATACTTATTTTATTTTGTCATGAGTTGACTATTGTGTCTCTTTATGGGTCAACCTACCTAATTATCAGCTAAAGAAAGCTCTGAGTGTTGAACAGGGTTGCCAGGCTTATTTTTGCTCTCCCACGGATGACTCCCACTACCCCATTCTTGATCAAATTGCACTGGCTTCCAATTAAAGCTAGGACAGAGTTCAAACTCTACCAAATGACTTTTAAGGAACTTATGTTTGGTGACCTTAAGTATTTGTCCAACCTATTAAATCCTCTGACCACAAGTTCTGAAATGATTTTGTGGTGATCCCTCATGCCTGGAGGAGCCTAGAGCTGTACCTTATGGGAATGTTCTTTTGCTGCCTGATCCTTTTGCTATACTGTACAGCACTCAGATTGTACAATCAGTTGCCTGTATCCATGAAGCAGCTGACATCTGCGGAGACGTTTAACCTCTACACCCCGGTTGACGTTCCAGAACGCTCACCTTTTCGTGCCATTGTTTGAACGCCCATCGCAGGTTATTAGGTTCCAACATAACTATTTGGTGGTCACACCACACGCAGGGTAGCTTGGGTGGGCTGAGTGTGGTTAGTATGCATTAGCCTGTCACCATGGAGAGTAAGTAATCCTTCAACCTGGTGACAGACTGTGTGTGTCGCCGAGCACATTTTATGAAAAATAATGCCAATAAAATAAATTCTAAATGAAATATTTATGGCAAATAAGTATTATGATCAGTAAATATATACATTACTGGCCACCCTGGACACAAAGGCAAGCAGAAAATGGCCACTAAGTGCGTAGTGACCACCAGCTCAGCCGTCAAAACAACACTGTTCCCTTATCTCCCTCACCACTGTGGCCCCAGGGAATATCTACTTTCCCGAAAAGTAGAAAATCTATCTACTTTTCGGGAAAGTAGATAACCAACTTTCCCGGAAAGTAGATATTTCCCATTTTTTATGATACAAATTTCCCGTTTTCTATGATAATCTACTTCGCAAAATTAGGTAATATTTCCCCCAAAATTCGAAAATCTACTTCCCGAAAAGTGGATAATCTACTTTCCCGAAAATTAGAAAATCTATCTACTTTTCGGAAAAGTAGATAACCAACTTTCCGGAAAGTAGATATTTCCCATTTTTTATGATACAAATTTCCCGTTTTCTATGATAATCTACTTCGCAAAATTAGGTAATATTTCCCCCCAAATTCGTAAATCTGCTTCCCCGAAAAGTCGATAATCTACTTTCCCGAAAAGTAGAAAATCTATCTACTTTTCGGGAAAGTAGATAACCAACTTTCCCGGAAAGTAGATATTTCCCATTTTTTATGATACAAATTTCCCGTTTTCTATGATAATCTACTTCGCAAAATTAGGTAATATTTCCCCCAAAATTCGAAAATCTAATTCCCCGAAAAGTCGATAATCTACTTTCCCGAAAAGTAGAAAAGCTATCTACTTTTCGGGAAAGTAGATAACCAACTTTCCCGGATAGTAGATATTTCCCATTTTTTATGATACAAATTTCCCGTTTTCTATGATAATCTGTTGTTATCTACTTTCCGAAAAGTAGATAGATTTTTCTTTTCGGGAAAGTAGATTATCGACTTTTCGGGGAAGTAGATTGAATTTTGGGGAAATATTACGTAATTTTGCGAAGTAGATTATCATAGAAAACGGGAAATTTATCATAAAAATCTGGGAAATATCTACTTCCTTGAAAGTTATTATCTACTCTTCCCCGAAAAGTAGATAGATTTTCTTTTCGGGAAAGTAGATTATCGACTTTTCGGGAAGTAGATTTCGAATTTTGGGGAAATATTACGTAATTTTGCGAAGTAGTATCATCATAGAAAATCAACGAAATTTGTAAAATAAAAACTGGGAAATATCTACTTTCCGAAAGTTACATCTACTTCCCGAAAAGTAGATAGATTTTCTACTTTTCGGGAAAAGTAGATTATCGACTTTTCGGGAAGTTGATTTTCGAATTTTGAGGGAAATATTACTCAATTTGCGAAGTAGATTATCATAGAAAACGGAAATTTGTATCATAAAAATGGGAATATCTACTTTCCGAAAGAAAGA